GTAAGTAAAGCATGTTAAAGTCAATTGCATGGCTGCAGCAATCACAACCAACTCTCAGTTTTGAGGAGAAAATTGAGACGACGTTTCGGCCTCTCTTCGAGCATTATCAAGCTATTTGATAAATGGTCCAGGGCGGACCGAAACATCGCCTACAGCTTCTAAATTATCGGTTACTTGTGCGTGCAAGTGCGTGTGTGGAGGCGTTGTTCTGCGCAACTTACTCATGTATTATTGGATTAAAACGTTTGTCATACGCTTGAAAGTAATCATCTTTTTTTTCCCCTCATACTATCAGATAGTTCTCTTTTATCCATTTATATATCTCCCTCCTGTCTCACCTCAGTAACAATTTACGATACTGATGTGTGCTTCATTTGCATTCTAAATATTTTGGTCCTATATTTCGTTTAATTCTCCCGTGAAATTTCTCTTTCACAATATTGTGCGGTTCAGAAGTTAATGTGTTAGTGCTCATTTCTCTTCTTTGGAGCAGCCAATTAATTTTTTCACAGTTGTGATGTATAACAATGATCTCAGTATTCTATTGTTTACATTAGTTACCTACGAATCCTATAAAAAGCCTCAAACAGTATTAAAACCACTGCCATCACAACATCCTCTTTAAGGTGATCTTAAAATCCTACTGCAGCTACCGCTATCATGGGGTTACTGCCACTGTCAACAACGTTCTATTGTAACCACTAATATTGTCATCGAAGCCAGCATGCATTAGCAGTGTTCCCTAACTTCACAGATCTACTGCTGCCATCAGTATTTTTTTAAATGAAGATCCTACTGCCATCTCCACTGCAAATGCTTGAAAATTCAGTTAACTTTCGAAATTTCACTACTGCTGCCACTGTTAACGCTGTTGAGAACAAGATCTGACACACTAGCCAATACTATCCATTGCTGTCAAACAGCTCTTATTACACAAAATGCTCCAAAATGTATGCTGTCTAGGCAAGATTTCTTCCACTCTAATCCCAGCAGCTCTGTTCTGGCCTCACACACATTCCTTCACTTCATTTCATTTACTTTTGCGATCCCACTTGCTGCCACCACTATATTCAAGGCACGAGACTCCAACCCACTTTGCAATTCAGCTTTCAGGCGCCACTAACACAGCCGTCAAGACAAGATTCCCACCCCCACGACGACCATTAGCCCCGGTGGGTCCTGCAGCAGCCACTGGGAATTATAAGGACAGCGTGGAAGTGCTTGCTACTACTACTGTCACACACAGGAGGAAAGTTAGGCAATTTACTTCTCTGTGTGGAGGGAAAAGGAGGTAGAGAGGGGGTGCAGGAAGCTGTTGGAAGGAGAAAAAATGGGAGAGAAAAGAGAGGGAGATGGAGAGAAAGTGACTGTAGATGCAGGAAATTAAAGAGGAAGGATACAATGTGTTAAAACAATAAAGTAAGAATACAAAGAAATAAGAGGACGTAACAAGACAATGCAGAGAAATGAAGGAATACAGAGACTGTGGAGAGGAAGGTATAGGTAACAATGCATTCGAAGACAGGGCAAGAATGGATGATTAATATGAAATGTTTTGGCATGATAGTGGCTTTCTTTGCTCCAATCAAATCATGATATGTAAACGCACATTGTAACCTTAGCAAAGAACTAAATTTTTATTTCATTATAACCCTCACTAATTGTTGAGGCTCTGTCCACCGTCTGGTAATCGCGAGAGACAGACGCACTACCTCTCCTTACAGATCTGAGAGAACCAGGTAAGACAGAGACGGGAGAGGGAGAAGGAAGAAACTCGAGAGTATACCGGACACTATTCCCTTGTAAGCACCAGCGAGTCCAGCAGTCCGTGGAGGAACATCGAAATAAAACTGTTTTCTCTCAAGTCCCACTAACTCGGGTTTACGTCTGAGTTTTAAGTAATGATAAACGAACCCGGGTTTGTATTGGAATAATTTTTGATCTCGTTAGTTGAATTTCGTCTGTTTTAAAATTATTTTAAATACACTTTTGTGTATGGAAAAGTGCTAAGCCCGTACGGTCGTGTATCGCGAAGGGAAAATAGAAGGTAATCAGATTTGATCCAAGAAAAGGGAAATGAGCTCAAATTCACTGGATCAAGAGTCCACCATTCAAGGATAAATATTCACAATCCAAATATTTTTCATTTGCATGTTTTAATAACGGTAAAGCTCTAAACCTGCAGGAGTCTTGTAGCCGTACAAGGGACGAACAGTCCAGTTCCTTGGATCAAGAGCCCCCCCTCACCGAACAAAGATTTTTACACACTATTACAACTTAGTTTAACAAATTTACAAATAAAGCTTTATATGAAAGAAATTTAAAGAATAAATTAACTGTATAGTGATTATACATTGTATTTTCTATTGTATTTTCCTCTCATTTCCTCGTTTCCGTCGCTACTCTTTAATTCCGTTATATTTTTATATTCATTCATTAATTCAAATACACTTGAAATAATTTTTTCCAAAATAATTACACAGAGTTGAGCGTCTAATCATTTTTGTACTCAAATTTATCTGTCGTTCGACTTTTCTTATTTTTTTTCCAATTTTTGTATAATTTCGTGTCATCGGTTGTTGGTGTCAGTAGCTGGAGGTGAAGATGAAGCCTCACTACAGTGGTCGAAACGATTAACAAGCAACCCCATACTTTACAGGAAAAAACTTTGGCTCTACGTTTCGGTCAGTCTTGCATCATTATTCACTCGCCTGATAATGGCATTGGACCGAATGAAAAGTCGTCCCTAGTTTAGTTTCCACTCCAGAGCGTAGACTTAATTGTTCCAGCCACGGTGGTACGACTTTAGTTCCTCTCTGTCGTGTCCACCTTGTCAGACGTCTCTTTACGCTATACACAGAATTTCCAGCCACCTCTCAGGATAAACTTTTCTCTTGTGGCATAAACTATTTTCCCTATTTTCTACTACTACTGCTACTAGTACTTCCATTACCACTACCAATACTACATTTTCCCCTCTTTCTACCCTCCCTGTCCTCGCGTATATAAACTGGCTCACTATTCTGTTAGTGTGAATTGTGAATGGTCCAAATCGGACCAGAATATCGTCGAAACCTCTCTCTCTCGCGTGTGGGTTGTGTATTTTCTCTGGTTCACGGCATCTTAGTCCCTCTCACCCTACCTGTCCTGTTGTTGATAGGACCCTGAACAAATTGTGCCATGTTCTGTGCCTCACACCAACTGGGTTCTAATCCCCTCTTCTAAATAAATGCTGTTTGTAATACGTACTATGGAAGCACCTTTGTAGACGTGACATGTCTCTAGAATTTCAGAAGCCTTTCATTAAATTTCTCATCAGCCATCTTTTAAGGACATAAGCAAACACATTAACAGAGGAATGCGTCTTTAAAATTACCCTAAAAACTGATTTTATATATACAATTTAGATCTGAAGTGAAAACTGTACAAGAACACTGCTACAAGTGCTGTGGGCTGGCAAACAATACCTACGTCCCCAGTTATGTGCGAATATATAAAATTATAGCAAAATAAGAACAGATCTAACTCGTGGAAAGTGATACAAGGTGCATATAGGTGCGTTAGAATGATACAAGGTGCTACATAGGTGCCTTAGGATGGATAGACTTAAACACTTGCTGTCACATTAATCAACTTGAGACGGTCCATTTTACGTAAATTTCGTCACTAGTTGATTATGCCTTAACTCTGCCAGTTCGATAGTAACATGAAACTTGAAGACAAATTTACGTAATTATCTAGACTTAGTAAACAATGCTAGTAATCATTAAACAAAAATCTTCGTCGAGCGCAAAGCGTTTATAGAAGAAAATCCTTATTGACTTTAAAACGGCTTCGACACCAGACAACCGAAACTAAGGAATATTATTTATCAATCCACGTTTTGGAAAATTCTTAATGTATTTAGCAACGCTAGCGGATGTAATGAAATAAGTTGGAGTCAGTCTTTTACCGCACCTGTTTAGCCCCTGCGGGTGCGTTGACCCCCGGAACACCCTCCAGGTAGGTGGATACCTTGGTGCTCCACTCATCCCACACCCATGTCAAAGATCTGTGAGCTACACGCTGAGCCTTAAGACCCAGGTGCGTTACAGTTGCAGACTAACAATGCAAGACAAGCCACGGGGATATTGAAATCTTCAGCTCAAGATCTTTCACACGTCTCCGTGCCTCGTCAGGAGTTACGCGAGTTACGCAATATTGCAAGAGTAGCAACAGATGGAATGAGAGGAAGGTTTAAGAGCATATTAAACAAAAGCTCTACGAGAACCGCGTCTGGGTAGTGTATGACCTGGGCCCTGGCTCAGCCGTCAGCAACTCTACACGTCCCTTCTATGATCTCATTAAGCTCGTCTTCGGCGAAATGTTATTTAAATTACTACTAATAACGATGTTAAAAATGCTATAAACATTTTTATATTCATTGGGGAAGTGCTAAACTCTCATGGGTCAGTTTCTACCATAAAGACATCCTTATGTTGTGGTTTTGGTCCCATGATCATGGGCACTCTCTGCCTCATACCACTTACCCTAAATTACTGCTAGTCACCCCCTGGGGCTAATTTGACCCTCTTCCCTCTATTTCCTGTCTCGCCACCCCTGCCTGGTGTCCTTCCACTGTCTAGTTCCACCCCTGCCTGGTGTCCTTCCACTGTCTAGTTCCACCCCTGCCTGGTGTCCTTCCACTGTCTAGTTCAACCCCTGCCTGGTGTCCTTCCACTGTCTAGTTCCACCCCTGCCTTGTGTCCTTCCACTGTCTAGTTCCACCCCTGCCTGGTGTCCTTCCACTGTCTAGTTCCACCCCTGCCTGGTGTCCTTCCACTGTCTAGTTCCACCCCTGCCTGGTGTCCTTCCACTGTCTAGTTCCACCCCTGCCTGGTGTCCTTCCACTGTCTAGTTCCACCCCTGCCTGGTGTCCTTCCACTGTCTAGTACCACCCCTGCCTGGTGTCCTTCCACTGTCTAGTTCCACCCCTGCCTGGTGTCCTTCCACTGTCTAGT